CACCAACATCAGCAACAACAACATTAGCACCAACAGCAACAACACCAACAACATCACGAACAACAACAACAGCAGCAGCAAAAACAACACCAACACCAATAACACCACCAACAACACCACCACCAACAACAACACAACAAGTACATCAACAACACCAACACGAACAACACCACAAACAACACCAACAGTAACAACAACACCACCAACAGCAACACAACAACACCAACAGCAACAATCATTTTAAACTGCTGGTTCTTACTGGCACGCGTGTCTTGCAGTCCGTATACCCCAACCCTCGATACCTGCCCACTTCGTCTTCGATTGCGCCCCCTTACGGGGGGAATCTCTTCCTTCTCGGCCAGTGACTGAAGTGCGAAGGGTCTCGAGCGAGAGCGCCGTTCCTGAGTTCGGGAGCCTCTCTGGCCAGGGGCTCTCGGAATACGTATGGAGAAATATCGAGCAGGAGCCCCTGTCGTCGTGGCTGGGCCTCCGCCAAGTTCATGGACCTTCGAGGAAGTCTCGAGCGAGGGCACCCTTCCCGAGTTCGGGGGCCTTTCTGGCCAGGGTGTCCTGGGGTAAAGTGTGAGGAAGTGTCGGGCGGGAGCTGCTGTTGTCGCAGCTCGGCCTCCAAGGGCCCACATTTAGGCTCAAGCCAACGCTCGAGCGGGAGCCTCGCTTTCAGAGCAAAGGTAGCCGGCGTCGAGGCGAGAGCGCGCGGAACCGTTGCCGGAGATCAAGAATAGTTGTTCCTGAGAAGTGGGCAGTCAACAACACTGCAACAAGCATAATCCTCACCACGGATTCTCATTTCAGCCACGCGCCCAGGGACAACGAATGACCGCTCGGCCTCCTTACTCTGATCCTCACCTTCTCGGCCGTCAAAGCGCCGAAGCTGGCTCGCAAGGCTCTAACAGCGCCCCATCGCGCCCCCCAAAGGGCTTCCACAGGGCACCAAGACGGGCCCAGGAGCGGCTCTGGACGGCCCAGGAGGGCCCCTCCCATACCCGTCAGGGCCCCTCGGGAGCCCAAGACGGCCGAGTGGAACTGCTTCCTCTGCCTCGCTCGCCTCCTGTTCGTCATTTCTCCCCCTGACCCCCTGAAGTCCAATCCAAGACGTTCCATGCCGGCCGCAGCCGGCCCGAGGGAGGAGGGGTTGGACGAGGAGCGAGGGTGAGCACGAGAAGAGGAGGAGCGAGGAGCGAGGAGCAGCGAGGAGGCGAGGAGCGGAGCGAGGCCGAGCGCGGGCAGAGGTCTCCGCGGAGGGCCCCCCGGAGGCCGAGAGGGGGCCGCGAGGCCTCGGACGACGCCGATCTGCCGGCTGCGGCCCTCGATCGCCCCGCCCCTCGGCGGCGGCCGCGGCGGCGGCGACCGCCGCCCGCGGCGGCGGGCCGAGAGACGCCAGCGAGGACGACGACGGCGAGGGCGACGAGGCCGACGACGGCGAGGGCGAGGCCGACGGCGGGTCGGCGGCGACCGCCGCCGGCGAGGCCGCGAGGGAGCGGCGGAGGCCTCCTCTCCGCCCCTCGGCCGCAGCCGCTCGGGCCTGCGCGCCAGCAGGCGCCGTGCGGCGGCCGCCGCGGTGGCCGCCGCGGTGGCCGCCCTCGAGGCCGCGGCGGCGGCCGCCGCACGGCGCCAGGGCCGCGCCGGCGGCGCCTGCGACGCGGAAGAAGGTTCGAGCGGTGTGGAGGCCGCGGCTCCGAGGCTGCACTTCGGGGGCGGAAGGTTCGGGCGGTGTGGAGGTTCGGGTGGCTGGTGTGGAGGCTCGGGCGGTGCAGAGGTTCGGGTGGTGTGGAGGTTCGGGGCGGAAGGTTCGGGCGGTGTGGAGGTCGCGGCTCCGAAGCTGCACTTTGGTTCGCGGCACGGGCCCCCTGGGGATCGCGGCCCCTTCACCAGGGCCAGCTTTTCGCCCCCTCGCCACAAATAAAGAGAGCAATCAATTAATCCATAAATAAATAAATATATATATGTATATATGTTTATTTATTCATATCTACACATATACATACATATATATATATATATACATAAATATACACCGGCACCCTCTAATAGATATGGTCCTGAGCCTCAGAGGAGGGTGGCGGTGCATACATCACCATGGAGAGCCAGCGACGGTACACGCCGCCCCCGCCCTGAAGGCACGTGCAGAGTTCGTCGGAGGGCGCCTCTGTGTACAGTCGGGGCCCTGAAGAAGGAACCCTTTTCGTTGGGGAGGGGCTCCGCGTTCCTTAAGTGTTTCGCAGCTTGCCTCAGGTGTTCCTTATGTTTTCGATCGGTTCCTTATTTTGGGTTCCTTAGGTCAAGCCACCGACTGTACACGTGTCCGTGGCGCAGTCCCGAGCCGTTCCTCGACGGCCACCGGGCCCGGGACACTGCCTCCGGGAGGCCGACGGTGCCCAGACGCCCGCCACCGCGGCTCCTCCCCTGACCCGAGACCCGACGCAGCGACAAAAATGGCAATCTCGTGAAACAAGTACGCCTCCTCCTCCTGCTTCTCTCCCTCCTCCTGCTTTTGGATTTCCGTCATGGGTACGCCTCCTCCTCCTCCTCCTCCTCCTCCTGCTTCTCCTGCTTCTCCTCCTGCTCCTGCTTCTCCTGCTCGTGAAACAAGTACGCCTCCTCCTCCTCCTCCTCCTGCTTCTCCCCCTCCTCCTGCTTTGGGACTTCCGTCAGGGGTACTGAATCTTATTCAGGCGTTGTACTTCCCTCGCAGAGGTTTTGCCTGGATCCCAAACTGCACTGTCTTCCTTTTTCATCTTTGCTCGGGAGTGCTCCAAGGATGCCCCTTATGAGGGGGCCTTTGGGCCATCGCTATGGACCCAGTCCTGAGATTTCTATATGCAGCCGCACAACGCCCGAAGGCGAGGCATCACAAGGGTGCTCTTGGCGGGTGTGCGGACGACGTCGGAATGGTTATGCCACGCCTTCGGGACTTGGTAGGAGTCTCACAAGTTTGTGGACCGAATGCACGGCCGAAGTCCAGGGCAAGATCCGAAAGGAACTCCGAAATGGGATTCTGCATTGGAGCAACTAAGATCGCGGGCCACACCACATACCTAGGTGTCGAGATGGGACCCGCTGCCCCGCTAAGGAATATATCGGCAAACGCTGCAGAGAAGTGATGGTCGAGGACGATTGCTCTCCCATTTTCGGGGGCTGCACCGAGTGTCCTCGCTATCTTGTACAACACCACTGCTCTTTCTACCCTCTCGTATCTTGCCCAGCTCTTCCCCATCCCTGCCATGGTGCGCAAGCCTGAACATCAGGCGTTTCACAAGCTGCTGAGGCTTCCGCCGAACAGTTTCAGTCTTGCCGATCTGAATGCCCTCCCGTCTCTGATTGCCATCTCACCTTCATCTGTCGCTCTGCTAGGGTGGGCCAGCAGTTGGCGCACTTCATTTCGCACAATGAATCATGTTTGGCAGCGCGCACTGCACAGTCTGAAAGAATATGCGCAGGACAATGCCACGATCGTCCGCTTCATTGTAGGCAAATTTTCTGCCACCTGCTGGAAGCGCCCACTCTCGATTGCACAATTCCTAGAGCGCGCGCGGCTTCCTCCGCCCCGCTTTCATGACACTGAAGGATGGCGGAAGGCGTTTCGGGATGCGCGCGAGCACACCGTCCTCGCCCTGAGCGAGTCTCGCCGCCCGCACCCGCAACGCAGTTTCGCCCGTTCTCTTCGTGTGCGTGCTTTCCCTGATTCCTTCCATACTACTCCCAGCGAGCGTTTGCTAGCGTGGCAGGTCACTACGCCTGGGGGGCGGAGGTCTGTTGCGGGACGGTGGGGCAGCTGTAAGACCTGCCTCGCTAAGCTCAAGCCCGCCTGTCAGTGGAGCGTTATCAAGACGCTCTGCGGTGGGTGGACGACTACACATCGGCTGCACATTGGCAGCCCGCCTGCCACTTGCATTTGGGGCTGCCAGCCGCCTGATGAGATAGCGCGCGATCTAAGATGCTCCCGAATGTTCCATCACCTCGCGATGCATCAAGCATGGAGGAGGCGCCACTTTCAAGGTGCTCCACTCACGCTGCTTGGCCTGGGATGGGACACAGACTACGAATGCGAAGGTTCTGAGCTCACGCGCGCAGAGTGTCTCCGTGCGGTGGTGCTCGCCTACCATATGTACCACAAAGCAAAGCATTTCGCACAGCGCACGCCAATGCCACTGGCAAGAGCGTATGACATCCGAGGTGCTGCAGAACTCACCATGCAGCGATAAGTCGCACTTTCGCTTTTCGAATCTCTTTCGGTTTGGGCGGGGTGTGGGACTTGCAGGGTGTGGGCTGGGGTGGGGGGGGATCGATCGAGGCACCTGATGCGTCTGCATGATGCGTTCGAGGACTCTCCCGCAATGCTGGACGGAGTCCGTGTTGCCGAAGCCTGCGGCTCGGCTCGCCCTGTGCCTCTCGGCTCTCCCCAGAAGGGGGTGGGGGGCTCGACCTAAAGGGATCAGGATATCTTCTTCTCTTTTTGTTTCTCATCTGAGGCGATATTTTTGACACATGGTCTGGTTCGAGCGCCCTTTTTGTGGGCCCTGCTTGTGGCGGAAGTGGCAAAGGGTTACGATGCCCCCCGGGAGGCCGAATAAGAACCCAAACGCCATCCAGCAGGAGCCCATTCTCCCTCTGTCGATGCTCTAGCGTTGGCCGAGGTCGAGGTCGGCGGTCGGACGGACCTCCTCGGGTACGTCGTCTTCTCCTCCTCCTGCTTCTCTTTCTCCTGCTCCTCCTCCTCCTCCTCCTCCTCCTGCTCCCCCTCTGGCTCGTCCATCTCCTCCTCCTCCTCCTCCTCCTCCTCTGGCTCGTCCATCTCCTCCTCCTCCTCCTCCTCCTCCTCCTCCTCCTCCCTCCTCCTCCTCCTCCTCCTCCTCCTCCTCCTCCTCCCCCTCCTTGGCGAGGGGCCCCCCCAGAGGCCGAAAACAGCCAAGCACCGCCCGCTCCAATTTTTGTTTGGGAGCAGCGGATCTCTGGGAACCTGTGGGGCAGGGGCGCCCCAGGCGCGGGAGCTGCCCGACATCCGCAGCGACCCGGGGGCGTGGTTCGACGCCATGGACCGCCTGCCGCGGGCCCTCGCCGCTGCGGGGCCGCTGCCGCGCCGGGTGTGGTCTCCGGCCTGCTTGGCGGCGGGATCCGAGCCCTACGGCGGGGGCGTTCCTCAAGGAATGTGCCCAGGAGGCTCCATCCGCCTGGAGGTCAGTCTTCGGGTCCCGGGGGCCGATATATGTATATATATATATATATATGCTCATATATATATATATATATATATATATATATATCCATATCCACCGCCCGCTGGGGCACCGGGACGTCGGTTCCCAGGCGGTGGATATGGACAAATCCCCGCCTCGCACTCCAGACCCTGGAGGATTCTTTGTCTGATGAGGGCGGCGGTGATTTCCATGGCCAAGGCTGAATTGGTGTTCCGCTGGCTTCCAGACCCTAGGCTCCTTATCTAGTGGTTCCTGATCTAATGCCTCACCGTACCCTCTCTGAGATCCTCCTGGCGACTCATTTTTTTCGAGCTGGGCGTTTTCGGCTTGTTTCGGGCCCCAGGACCCTCACGGATCGATGCGGCTCGGAGAATGGCGCAGAAAGATGGGGTCTAGGGCTCCGGGCGCGAATTTCAGAGATCGGACGCTCCAAAAACGTTGGAGCGGTTTTTGGCTATTTTCGGGCTCCAGGGGCCCTCGCCGGGCCGTGGGGAAGTGGTCCAGACCTGCGGGGCCCACGCATCAAAAAGATTGGAGCAGCTGGACGTCGGGGTTCCAGGCGGCGCAAGACCCTGAGATCCTCCTGGCGTCTCAACTTTTCCGAGCTCGGCGTTTTCGCATTGTTTCGGGCCCCGGGACCCTCACAGATCGATGCGGCTCGAACAATGGCGCAGAAAGATGTGGTCCAGGGCTCTGGGCGCGATTTTTTTCGATGCTGCAATTTCTCTTTACGTCGGATTTCAGGGCTCGCCGACCAGCGATCCCAGAGATCCGACGCTCCCCCAACAATGAGGCGTTTTGTTGTTCCCCATATCCTAAGATGGGGTTCTTGTTATTACTTGGACGCCTCCTACTTCCTCTCCTCCTCCTCCTCCTCCTCCTCCTCCTTTTTCCCAACCATCCTGTGGTGTTGTGTCCTCGTTTTGAAGAGACGTCGCCCCGCGTTCCTTCCTCCTCCTTCCTCCTCCTCCCCTTCCTCCCCCCTCCCCCCCCTCCCACACCCATTCTGGCACACCCGTTACACGTTTCGTGGCCCCATAGGGAGCTCCACCGAAGGCCCCAGTGGCTGCGCCCGCATGCGGTTCCACCCCCCATTCTGGCACACCCCTCACACGTTTCGTGGCCCCATAGGGAGCTCCACCGAAGGCCCCAGTGGCTGCGCCCGCATGCGGTTCCACCCCCCATTCTGGCACACCCCTCACACGTTTCGTGGCCCCATAGGGAGCTCCACCGAAGGCCCCAGTGGCTGCGCCCGCATGCGGTTCCACCCCCCATTCTGGCACACCCCTCACACGTTTCGTGGCCCCATAGGGAGCTCCACCGAAGGCCCCAGTGGCTGCGCCCGCATGCGGTTCCACCCCCCATTCTGGCACACCCCGTTTCGTGGCCCCATAGGGAGCTCCACCGAAGGCCCCAGTGGCTGCGCCCGCATGCGGTTCCACCCCCCATTCTGGCACACCCCTCACACGTTTCGTGGCCCCATAGGGAGCTCCACCGAAGGCCCCAGTGGCTGCGCCCGCATGCGGTTCCACCCCCCATTCTGGCACACCCCTCACACGTTTCGTGGCCCCATAGGGAGCTCCACCGAAGGCCCCAGTGGCTGCGCCCGCATGCGGTTCCACCCCCCATTCTGGCACACCCCTCACACGTTTCGTGGCCCCATAGGGAGCTCCACCGAACGCTCCAGTGGCTGCGCTCGCATGCGGTTCCACCCCCCATTTCGGCACACCCCTCACACGCTTCGTGGGTGGCTCCATGGGGAGCTCCACCGAACGCCCCAGTGGCTGCGCTCGCATGTGGTTCCCCCCCCATTTCGGCACACCCCTCACACGGTTCGTGGCCCCATAGAGAGCTCCACCGAAGGCCCCAGTGGCTGCGCTCGCATGCGGTTCCACCCCCTTTTTCGGCACGCCCTTCACACGTCTCGTGGCCCCATAGGGAGCTCCACCGAACGCCGCAGTGGCTGCGCTCGCATGCGGTTCCACCCCCCATTTCGGCACACCCCTCACACGTTTCGTGGCTCCATAGGGAGCTCCACCGAAGGCCCCAGTGGCTGCGCTGGCATGCGGTTCCACACCCCATTCTGGCACACCCCTCGCACGTTTCGTGGCCCCATAGGGGGCTCCACCAAAGGTCCCAGTGGCACTGCCCGCTTGCGTCCGCCACCACCCAGCACAGCCCTTGTTCCCTGCGCTTCACCCACCCAGAACAGCGCTTCGTAGCCCTATAGGGAGCTCCACCAAAGGTCCCAGCGGCACCGCCCGCATGCGTCCGCCACCACCCTGCACAGCCCTTGCTCCCTGCCTGCGTTTCACCCACCCAGTACAGCGCCCCATAGGGAGCTCCACCGAAGGTCCCAGTGGCACCGCTCGCATGCGTCCGCCACCACGCAGCACAGCCCTTGCTGACCGCGTCTCACCCACCCAGTACAGCGTTTCGTGGCCCCATAGGGAGCTCCACCGAAGGTACCAGTGGCACCGCCCGCATGCGTCCGCCACCACCCAGCACAATTGCGGCATTCACAACTGCATATGGTTGGGTCCTTCGCCAGGCTAATTTCCTCCTCTACTCAGACTTGCTCATACCCAGACTTGCTCATACACAGGCTTAGACATTCTCATACTCAGACCTACTCATACTCAGGCTTACTCATACCCAGACGTACACATACACAGGCTTACTCATACACAGGCTTACTCATACTCAGACTTACTCATACCCAGACGTACTCATACACAGACTTACTCATACTCAGACCCACACATACTCAGACCTTCTCATAGTCTGAGTTACTCAACGCACGGCAGATTGTGGGGATGTCTCAGGCGGGGCGCTGGTTTCAGCAATCCTAAGGGGAGCCGCCAGGGTTTTTTTTCACGGGCCCGTTCGCGGCCAGTTTGTGGGGATGTCTCAGGCGGTTTGCTCGTTTTCATGCCCACCATCCTTGGCTTTCATAGCAGATTTTGAGGACGTCTCAGGCGGGGCGCTGGTTTCAGCACCCGTAAGGGGAACCGCCAGGGGGTATACCACGGGCCCGTTCGCGGCCAGTTTGTAGGGATGTCTCAGGCGGTTTGCTCGTTTTCATGCCCAACACCCTTGGCTTTCATAGCAGATTGTGAGGATGTCTCAGGCGGGGCGCTGGTTTCAGCACCCGTAAGGGGAGCCGCCAGGGGGTATACCACGGGCCAGTTTGCAGCCAGCTTGTGGGGATGTCTCATGCGGTTTGCTCGTTTTCATGCCCGACATCCTTGGCTTTCATAGCAGATTTTGAGGATTTCTCAGGCGGGGCGCTGGTTTCAGCACCCGTCAGGGGAGCCGCCAGGGGGTATATCACGGGCCCGTTCGCGGCCAGTTTGTGGGGATGTCTCAGGCGGTTTGCTCGTTTTCATGCCCAACATCCTTGGCTTTCAGAGCAGATTGTGAGGATGAAGGAAAGGGGGAGGAGGAGGAGGAGGAGGAGGAGGAGGAGGATGAGGAGGAGGAGGAGGAGGAGGAGGAGGAGGAGAGAGGAGGAGGAGGAGGAGGAGGAGGAGTAGGAGGAGGAGAGGAGGAGGAGTAGTAAGAGTACGAGGTGGAGGAGGAGGAGGAGGAGGAGTAAGAGGAGGAGGAGGAGGAGGAGGAGGAGGAGGAGGAGGAGGGGGAGGAGGAGGAGGAGGAGGAGGAGGAGGAGGAGGAGGAGGAGGAGGAGGAGGAGTACGAGTACGAGGTGGAGGAGGAGGAGGAGGAGGAGGAGGAGGAGTAAAAGGAGAGGAGAAGAAGAAGAAGAAGAAGCACGCCGAGGCGGACCAGTCACGTGACTAACGACTCGGCCCAGCAGGGCGGCGCTCGGGCTCAGCCTAGCCCATTACCGCTTGCGCCACCTGCTGGGCCCTCCTGTGCCCGAGCCAGCTCCCGCTGGCGCACTCTCTCCTGAAGTGCCGCCAGCCGTGATTCGTACTGATACGAAGAGGCTGGGTTGGGCCGCGCGGAGACGCTGGTCGTCTCTCTCCGAGGGGCGCGGCGTGTGGGCGCCACTCGGTCGGCAGGAATCACAGAATCGATGGAACGCTGGAGCTTGCGATGAGGTCCGACGCCGCGCCTCAGGTTCCGAAGAATCTCAAGACCCTTGGGCGTCGGCCTGATGCAAGGTGACCTCAGCTTGCTGCGGCGCCTCTGTTGGGCCCACGCTCCACATCTCGTACAAACAAAAACAGGTCGATCCACACTATCCGAGACCGACTCGCACCGTTCGCCAGACTGGTGCACAGCAACGAGACAGTGACCGTTCGGCCGAGCGAAAAAACGCACTGAGGAATGCTGGGGTTCCCCTGCAGCCCACTAAGGGCCAATCAACAGCATTGTCATGCAGAACAGAGAGGCAATACTTGCACTGAACTCCTAACTCCGTCCTACACCAATCATGATGTCCCTCAGTCCTCACGTTTCTACTCCTCTTGAATATCGGCGCCCTCCTCCACCTCTCCTCCTTCTCGTAGCAGGGCAGGGTGGCAGAGATTAGACGCACAAGGTTCCTCGTCGCCTCCTCGTGCAGCTCAATCTGCTTACAGAATTCGTGCCGAGGAGCGGGGTGGAGAGAAACAGCCATCTTCGCGAATCTGTCAGCAGCAATGTTCGCATCTGTTATTCTCCTTTGTGCAGCGTTTAACAGAGCATACTGTTCGCTCGTGCGATGTGCTTTAACATGTTCTGCTGCTGTCAGATACTCACGACCAGGAAGGCTTTGACCAAAGACCTGAACACATGCATAAATGGAACGTGACTCTCTCTGGCGCTGAGGAGACTTCCGCGCCTCGAAGACAGCGCCAAGGAAATCAAAATACATGGTTGCAGGCCGATCTGCGACTTGGCCACAAAAAGCCAATCCCAAATACTCGGCAATCACTGATGTCTGGGGCAGAGCAGGTGGAACAGCCCCATATACTGCAAGAAGTGGATCTGGGCCAGACGGGTTCAACAATGCGATCGCCCATCCTGCCCTCTGTAAATCACGA